AATGTTGTCTTCATAAGAAGTTACCGGTTTTATTAAGTTCGGTTCAGCTTTCAGTTTGGTGCCATAATTAAGGAAATTGTGTTGTATTCGCACACACACACAACTTTTTTGCGTTCATTTGCTTTAAATTAGGAAACATTTCGTTGAATTTTCTGCATGGTCTTGCAACAATTTGGTCACATTGTCCATGAAGCATAAATAATTTCATTAAAACTTCGTTTGAATATTTGTTGCCCTCCATTGTGTGAATAATTAGGTCTAAACTGCATTAAAAAGTGTATAAAAGTTTTCTCTATTAATTTGTTGACTTGACAACTGGTTTGAAGAATTGCAAAATCTTCGACATAATCGAACTTTTGCAAAAATGTGTATTTATTTCGGAAATTTGACGCTAGGTATAGTTAGGTATAAAAACATGCTATATCGTTTCACAGGGAATTTAACGGTATTTCGGCATTTGAACTAATATACAGGGTGTTTCATTTGAAAAAATGCAATTGGAGTAGTTTTTATCTCTAGCCGAAAGATCAGTATTTTCAAGACATTCTGTATAATTTGGAACAAATTTTTCTTCCTAACCCAGCACCAAAATTTTAAATTTCCAGGGATCGAAATCGCGATGTAATACAAGATTCCTTGGGGCTACGTTTTGATTAAAAATAATGAATTTTATTGAATATTTCGGAAACCACTTTAGATCGATACAGGAATCATTATGCAAAAATAATCATATTTATATCGCCAATCTAAGCGTGCAATAGTATACAGGGTGTCTTATTTAAAATAGCAAAGTTGTATGTACTTTTCGGTATAAGCGGCCACATTGCATTGCTGAAAATATTTTAGGCCGATAGAGCATGTCCGGTAACTTCGTTGTACAAATTTGCAGATAGATCGTGCATCGCGTTCTCCTTAAACGTCTAATACGTTATCGACCATGAATCACCCTATATAGTATAGTGTATAGTTCATAGAATACCATCGAAGAACCATTATTTTATTACACTGGTTCACTAAACTTCTTCAAACGAAGGAGTTTATTATAACGTTTGTTAAATCTTCATGCAAAAGGCTAAATTAGAAGTAATTTTCGCTACGAATGGGCTTTCTTAGAATAATTAGCCGAACCACAATCTAACTCCACTACTTATTAGACCATAAGCGATTAATCGACAGCAAAATCGCTGTTGAAACTTAAAATTAGCATTTGTAAATCCACTTCATTTGCTTTTAGTTTGAGCCTTGGATGGCAGGTTCTGGTCGCAATTTGCTTTCTTTTTCTTACGCCATTTGTTATGGCTCAATATTAGAAAACGGACGATTTTTGTCAGTCAACCTAAATTTCTTGGACCAAACCCCTAAAATAAAAATAAACTCTTAATGACTGTGTGAGTGTATAATTTTCTTTAAATATATGTATTTTACATATGAAATTGCACTAAAATAAAAAAAACTGATACGATTCAATAGTGATTGTCGCCTAAGAAGAAAATCTGGATCCTAAGACTTATTTAAGCAATACGTTTTCTTTCAAAACGAACGAAAAAGAATAGTTAGCAAATTTACTTTCGTTACCCATTCTTTTACCATTATCTATTCTGGTCTATTGACAAAAAAATCTCGTTTTCTCTTTTTGTTTTAAAAAAGCATGGAATACTTAGTTTGAAATAAAATTTTGCCTACTAATGATCTCCCAAAGCTTGGTAAACTTAAGAAAAGCCCATTTAGTTCTTGAAGCATTTTCTGGATGCTGAACTGGTAGCCTTTGTTACATTATCCAGCTTAATAGAGCCCTGTTCTCGGGTCGAACCTTCTTGTTTATGTGGGTTAAATCGGCATACTGTCCTACCTCTTACCAACCGTGAAATATCCGAAGAATTTAGTTCGATCCCAACCGAAGAATTCACTTTCCCGTGCAGAATTTATAGTCAGTTGAAGAGAACTTCGTTCCAGTTGGTGTAATTTTACGATTTCGAACGGTCGGACATTGTAGTTCAGATTTCTATGCAAAAATGCTCGCGACGTGGATTTATTATCATTATAAATCCAGTGCAATCGGGTAACTAAATCAGATGTCAAATGCAATCTGGCAGGCAAATCAGGATGAATCGGACGCGTTAAGGCTAAAATATCCTGGGGGCGTGAGCCATCTTATATATCATTATTACGCCTCCTCAACGATTTATCTTATGTCCGAGGCAGACGGTAACACATTTTCCTTGTAAAATGTACACTAAAAACCTTCTAAAATATTAAACAAGCACCTGGATCAGGTAATAAATGTCTTAACTCGCCGAAAGAAATAATTTATTACTGTATAATTGCCTAATCCTTTATTAAACTTGAATGGAAGAGCCGCATACACAGAATATATTAAATATGCTCTTTTAGATCTTGTGGTCTGAGAATTTTCATTAATTTGCCTGGCGAATAATTAGCAACATAATTACGACCACTCACTACAAACGGAATCCGTTTGACGCAAGAAAATATTAAAGATGCACTAATTATTACGCAGGGTTTAAATTGGGGAAAACGTGGATCGATTCTGATAATTCCTCAATAGCGTTTTCTCTATAGGTAGAGCACAAATGGAAGAAGGGCATGCCTTCTTCTCGGGTTGAAATTGTTTCGAATGCAGTAAAATTACAAAAACTAAAAGTAAATGGCTTTCATTGATAAGCAATCCTCATTCTACTCAGATCACTCTCTATGTCTGTTCTGAGTTATTTGAGGGCCTGCAACTTATTTAGCTTCGTTAGTATTTTTCTTGTATGCAGATTGTTTGTTTTTCAGTTTTTTAAGAAATTTGCTAAGAATTGTTCAGAGTGTGAAGCTTTCAGTCAAAGGTTTATAAGACTCATTTTTGTTACTAATCATATCAGAATTGTCGTAGTTTTTTTAAATCTGCTATTTTTATTTAATTACTTTATTGTTCTCAGGCTTGTTCTGTAGTTTCTAGATTTTTACCCTAATTAAGTTTTTGCTTGTTCTTTTTCCTTGCTGAAAACTGTACGTACGTATTTGTGAAAATTGCGCTTTTAATTTTTTTTTTGTTTTTCTTTTGTGCATGCAAGGTCTTCTTCTGATTTTTGTGTGATTATGCCAGATTTTTTTATTTGTTTTCTCCGTTTTAGTTTCATTTTGCTCACGATGTTTTAGACGCTTTTGTACTTAATTCTTAAGGGTACTAACTGTTAAAAAAGCTAGTTTATTAGGTGGATTTTCAGAACTGTAAGCAAAAAATTTTGGGGGACGATATTTAAAAAACCGGTAACAATTTTGATTTAAAAATTTTATACTAACAACAAGAACAAAGTTTCTCTCCCATTGGAGAGTCATAAGTTTTAATAAAGGAAATCATCGTAAACTATACTTCTGCATACGAAGTCTATAAGAAAAAAATTCTGAATTTAAATTCTTTTATTATAAGCAGAAATTTGACTGAGTACTATAGTTTAGGTTTATTTTGATTAATATATGTTGTATAAACTTGGTTTTGAACGTTTGGATATGGTAATAAATTACTCGATTTACTTAGATATACAGTATTGTAAATACACCTCAGAAATGCCTGTAACTGTGCAAAGCTTGAAATGCTTTTATTGCAAAATCGGCTTCGATTTGATTGCATATTCGGCACACGTAAACCATCGATATTTAGGAGCCAAAACCTCAATATTAGATTTAACAAGCGGGAGCCATCAAATATAATAGCACATACATTAGCTAATAAAACAAATAGTAAATCGACATACAGACATTTGATGGAACGTTTTGTTTGCAAACGATATCAAAACCATTTATTTCAATAGTTAGCCCCATTATATGCGAACATGTAATCGAATTTTAGTGGGGCTTTAGATTGGTTTATGTTTATGGCGAAAGTCACGTTATTGGCTTATTAATTCGGATTATAGTTACGTTGGACGTAAGTGCGACTCAGTGTTAAATTAATTATGATTTAATAGAAAGTTGTTAATTTTTTTAGCTAGTTTTTAGCTAGTTTTAGCTTTAGCTAGTTTTCTAATAAATTTTCAGCTACTGTGGGTTTATTTACTGACTATTTTATGCTGTACATTCGATGAGGCGCTGAATTTACCTCTCTAGTTTCTCTTAACCCGATGAGGGCAACCGTTTTTTGTTTTATAATTCCTCTGATGCGCCATCGAATAAACGAACTGTTCTTCCAGGTTTTTAACTCGATTTATGCTCTCAGTTCTAATCTTCTCAATTATTCAATAGAATGTTTGATGCGTGCTTCTACAGGTATTTTTTCCAGTTAAGAACTAGTAAATTAAGTCCCATGTTTCGTTGGGCAAAGATAACTTTTTTCGTGTAATAGTAAATAAAAAATGTTCTCTTAAAACTGACGTTTATTAGCATTCTACAGATTGAAAAACTGAACAAATAAACCATACATTCTCTTCATATCAAGCTGAATAGGGCTGTCGGCATTCGAATTTACACCTCGGCGCCGCAAAACTGTACATCTGGTGTGATAAAATTAACAGTGTTTCCCTGGAAAGCAATACATGCAGATATTCCCAATAACAAAATGTTTTTCACGGAATTACATTGAATATTTTATTAAAACGGGAATTGTTTTAAATACCGAGCATTTCACTTAACAGTTATTGAACTAATATTTCTCGTTTTTGCTGTGATTTCAATGAACGGCCGAATAATGCATGCAAACTAGAGGATATTATTCAAAGTTTGACTAGATATTATCTATCAAATTTTCTAAAATATCCAAAATTGTTATCCTGTAACTGTTATCTTTGATTCATCATTACTCATCTTATTCTGTCCGTTTTTGAATTTCGGCGCATCAGTATCAAAACAATAAAAAGCGTTTTCTGATTAGGTGAGCAAAATCTCATTATTATTCACTGTAATGGTGGAGAATTAAATTTGAAATTTAAATGTAATACTTCAGCCGAAGGAATTCATTTCAGGAAATTATTAGTCAGTAAGGAGCAAGTAAATTGCATTAATGCCAAGAAAGTAAATTTATGTTAGTCCTAAACCTCAAGTCAGCCTAAAACGTCGATTGCAGACATTCGATTTGATATATGAGTGGATGGAAGATTAACAATTTTAATCATTTTTGTACGTGTTCAAACAGCTTTCCAAAATTCAATAATTTTCAAGAAAGCCCATAAAGCTTTTACAAAGCCAAATAATTGTGCGATTTTCAGGCAATTGTATAAAGAAAATATTCTTATTTTACGCAGCACAGGCCCCTGAGAAAGAAATAAATTCCTGCTCCGAATATGTCTGGTTTAATTTGAATAATTTTCAATAAAAGGTGTATATACATGAAGAAAAGCAGTTGTTATCATATTTGGCCGTGGGTGTTCCCGCTCTAAAAAGGTTTTATGGTGAAATAAAGCGATCCCGGCACAACGATAGAGGGGCGAATCTGGAAAGTAGAATATTTCTCTAATACATCATAGGACTCGTTGTTTTTGCATATCTCTTTTTCTGAATCACCTTTTCTGCCTAAAAGTTTTCGGACTGGATTTTTATTGACTATAAGGCGGTACAGTTTATGCTGCATAATTTCATTTCCAGCTGTCTCAGGGGAATTTTTGGAACTGGCGACCAAACCAACATTGCGGAAATTAATCCCTACAGGGATCCATACGTAAACAATAGCAAATTAACTAGCTGGAAGGCCTGTATCCAATCTAAAATGCAAATGACCCAATTAACAGGTGGAGATGCAAATAAACTTTTGGCAAATTCATAAATTGAATTAGTTTTATTATACAGGGTGATTCAAAATTGTCGTCATTCCTTTTAAGGGGTGATGGAGGCTCACTTGGGGAGTACGAGAAAAATAATGACATTTTTTTTTTCGAAAATTTCTAGAAGATATTCACAGTTGAAGATCGAATTTCAACTTTGCTATTAAGCATTATTTTGAAATTGTTCCATGTTTAATTGGTAGCTATTGGAATACTTAAGCATTCGAAAAGAAAAATTACGATCTTTGCTTCAAATTACGAAAATTTTCGATATTGAAAAAGTTCTGTTCTACAATTTTTTGATGAAAAGGCACAGCGGCAATGATGTTTTTTGTCATTAAGATATAGTTACAGGTGGATAGCACGTGTCAATAATAGCAATAATGTGCCAAACTGTGACTTACTTTGAATTTCCCTTCGCGAATTTGCGGATATGCGATTAGTTCAGGGGAAATGCTACATTGCAGAAGCTGAAAGAACTCACGCCAACAACGAGCAAGGAGAGTGGTTCCAGGAAGATAGTGGACGGCAATCGATGTTCGGGTTCCAAGCACAGAGGAACAAGTATT